ATAGAATCAATGCTCATTAAAAGAGAAAGATAAGTTGCAAACATGAATCAAATGAAAGCCATGAGTCTCTAGCTGCAAAGTTGCACGTAATAGTTTAGCAACAAGGCATTGATGCGATGTATAAATTAATGAAATCATGAATAGTTGCAAATTTGAAGCAATAGAAAATCACATTAAATTTAAGAAGCAAACTACAAAAATTATACTTGCTTTAGAGTCGAAAATACACATGGAGGAGGAGTGTATACCTTGGTTAAAATGATGTCAAGAAGCTCCATCTTTGCTTTAGAGTCGAAAATCTCAGTTTGATGACTGGAATTTATTCGATAAAAACAACGAAATCAGATTATCGTTTTTATACAGAAATTGAGAGTAAAATTAATGAAAATGCAATATATTAATGAAAAAACAGAAAAAGTTAGATCATATACTTGAGATGCCATCTCGAAGGTCTGAATTGGTCATTTACGGAGGGATTCAAGATACACAAATAAAACCAAACACCGATTCATCGAGGTTTACAGAAGAAGATGGAGTCAGATGCAAAAATCGAGACCCCGCTAATCTCCCTGCACCGATTCATCTTCTCTTCCAGTTCACAGATCCAAACATCTGCACACTAAAAAAATTATGCCATATAAATATATATATATATATATACATTACACACACACACACACACACATACACACACAGACCTGAGCAAGAAGGGGTGCTGGTGCGGAAACGAAGAGAGAGAGAGGATAGACCTGCGTTAGAGTATGAGATCGATCATGAAGATGAGATCCATCATGAAAATGAGATCGATTGAAGCTGAAGATCTTAGATCTCCATTGAAGTCCCAGACGATTGAAGCTGAAGATCTTAGATCTCCATTAGAGTCTTAGACAGAGAGCCCTAGATAGAGAGAAGAGAGAACAGATCGAGAGCATGCATTTGACAAATTAAGGCGTGAGGATGAGATTTTATTTGCCTATTATTGAGACGACCTAAATTTGGTCTCTAAAAGTCTTCACACATTAGTAACCAAATATATTGGTTCCCAGTTCTTAACCACATCAAACAAGTGCGGATCAACTGGTCAAATACGGTATATATCCATCTCATAAAAGTAATATGGAGGGTTTGTACGGCTTTTTTTTTTAAAAATTCATTTTTGTCCCTAAATGATGACTTTTAGAGACCAAATTTAATTGGTCTCTAAATATTAGTCTCTAAATCACTAATTTCTTGTAGTGTACTTTTGTCAAAGTAATTGCGAATATATGAAATTTACAAAGTATCATATGAATGTTAATGTTGTTTGGTTGTGTAGAACTAAAAATATGATATAATTACATTGATGATGCTTTACTAAATGAACCTACTGGACGAAATTCCTAACTACGCCACTGCATACGGTGAAATTAATGGAACAAAAAGCACGTAAAATAGTTATTAGATCTTCTCCTATCAACATTCTAGCGCAAAGGCTACTAGGACACTTTGCAAAACCTAAGGAGGGTATACAACAAAAACAGCAGGGGAAGCCAGTAATTAGATCTTCTCCTATCAACATTCTAGCGCAAAGGCTACTAGGACACTTTGCAAAACCTAAGGAGGGTATACAACAAAAACAGCAGGGGAAGCCAGTAACATTTGCTATCCTAAGATTTAGCAAGTTGTCAAATTTTGACAAAGAGTCCTCTCTAATCTGGGCATTTTGAATATTATCTATTCGTTTGGGATGTGAGTTGAGGTTTTAATTATTTTAATTTCGAGTTAAAAAGTCTCGTTTGTGATAGATATTTTAACTTTTTTTATTTTTGTGAGAGAAAAAATGAAATGATTATGATTTGGATGTAACATTTTGTCTTATTAGGCTAAAAAACCTACACACCAAAAAATTAAGGTTTTAGAGATCAAAATTTAGGAACAAAATTATTTTTTAGGGACTAAATATTTTTGTTGTGAAAAGTACCGTCATTATATTCTTGGCAACGAAAATTGGACATTAGTGATGAATTATTATTATTTTGGGACCAGTTTTTTTGTCTAAAAAAACAAACCATTTTGAGACAATTATTTTTTCTCTAAAAGTCTATTTATTAGTGACGTTTTCAAAATTTTGTCGTTAAAAGCCTTGTTCTTGACTTTTCGAAACGACCTTTTAGCGACTATCCTTACGATGATAGAAATTGGTCCCTAAATGTCTTTTGCAACAAAATTTTTATTTTTAGAGACCAAAAAATTTAGTCTCGAAAATTCTTATATGATATAATGCTATTTTTTCTTTTTTGACTAAAATAGCCCCAATCCAATCCAAACCTAAACCTTCCTGCCAAATATCGCATGCTAAACTTCAACTGTTGCATGCCATTTGGGCAGTTTAGTATTCAAGAATTGTTGAAAATCAAGCCACGTTTTCATCAGATGCCATATGCATCAAGCCCTTTTCTTTATTTCATATGCTTTCGGTGATTAATTTATTTCATATGCTTTCGGTGGTTAATCAAGCTAGTTATTATAATAATAAACAGAGTGTATGCTGATATATATGTAATATATATTAATGTATAGTTAAATATGTAGTGGCCTCGTGGCCTGCTTGTTTGTTTTTGGCCTCGTGGCCTCGTGGCCTCCATCTGATCATATTGTATAAACCTCCTATATAATGGAGTAGCATTGTAAGGCTTAAGATATTGAAATAAAGAGTCTATGTTTAGTCTTTCAATCACTCTCTCTCTCTCTCAATATTAATATTTTCAAGAATCATTTACTTGGTTGTACAATATTGTCTTATGTCCAAATTCGAATCTTACTGCTGCGTGATATACCATCTCCCTTTTCCCATGCCCTCCTACCAATTGTCAAATATTTAAAAAGAAAATAGAAATGTGAGTGACAAGAGTAATGTGTAAACGCGCACAAAATAGTTAGCAAATTTCTTGTATTTTCTCGCTCCAAATAGTGTGTTAACTTGTGTGTCAGAGAGACCAATGAAAATATGCTTGTAAATTAACCACACTCAAGCGATCACTTTTTTGCAACTTCTAGTGGACACATGTAGACAGTATATATAAATATATATATATATATATGACAAGTTGGCACCAAATCAACTGGTACACCCGTGACACATTTAACCAGAAGACTAGTACATTATATTCCGAATGCAAACAATAATAGTGATAGTTGAACAAGTCATTTTATCAACAAATACAACTACACTAGGGCCCTTTGCAGATATGGTGGACATTTTGGTTTTAGAGTCCCCTCTTCAACTGTCGAATTAGATTTTATTGTCTGAATCTATCTGAGACTTCATTTGGGGCATACCGACCACACACACACAGATTTCAGCCATTCATGTCGGCCAACTAAACCGCGTTATTCTAGCAAAATTACAAGTAGGATCAGTTGTGGTTGGGACTTACCCGATCCTGAATAAGTAGTCCACAATTAATTCAGATAGTACGTCCCCCCCGAACTAGCAACAAAACAATTTAAGATACAATAATAAAACAAAAACTATATAAATTTATAGGAATTAGTGTTATATTATATTTTTTTATTATTTTTGAATAATATATTCATATATATAACATATAATAAATACATAAAATTATATATTTCATAAGTGTCCCACACATGTCGTATCTTCTATTTTTTTTAAATTGACGTATTGACGTGTTTATGTTGTATTCGTATCTTATTTCGTGTCTGTGTTCATGCTATTGATAAGTGTGTTTAAGCAATATGTACATGTGTCCTCCAAGTGTTCAAATAGTGTCCGGGTCTTTAAAAAATATTTAAAAATAACACACAATTTGAAGAGTGTCGAACACGTATCAGAGACGTGTCCAAAGAGTGGCGGTGTCCGGCACGGATACATCACCTTCTTAGAAGTGTCCATACTTCTTAGGGGCTAACTTGTGGGCTTTGATAGAGCAGTATACTTAGTGGCGGAGGGAGTGAGGGACCAGAGGGGTCACGTGCCCACCCTGGATTTTATATTTTTTTATTTTGCAAACATAAAGAAAATATTTTAAATAAAAAATTACAAAAATATTATTATAGTGAAATGTCAATGACATTTAAAAAATTATGAAAACAATAATGGTTGTTTTGATTGAAAATGAAGAAACTACTATAAATCTTATTTTCTATGAAATTTTTTGAATGTAACGGTGATGTCATTATTAGTGACATGCAAGTATAAGTAATCTCACTATAAAGATACGAAATTTATTAGATTGTTAGTTATATTTGACATGTGAGGTTCACTCTCGATGTGTTTCTTTACTATTTTTTTTTTGATCGGCAAAATAAATTTATATTGATGAAAACATAAAAAATATGATAGAGTACATCAATATAGAGGAGCTTGGAGCTAGCTCAAGTTCGAAGCTCCAGTTGGTGAGAAACCAACAAAAAGAGAAAAACAAAAAACTAGAAGCATTAGCAACGAAATTACAGCCATAACAGAGCAAACTAGCAGCATAGTAGATCACCAAGACTAATAGATCAGCAGGCTTAGCAGATCAACAGATCATCACCAAATCACCAAGACAAAACAACTTATTCCAAGGCTAAGCAGCAGACTTTTAGCTCCGCAAGGTTCTCATTTCCAAAATCACCTTTAAACAACACCAAGTCTGCCTTCTTAAGGCTTTGTTAGATTCAGCAAGCATTTGTTCCCTCCTCTGAAGGTCAGCAAGTCAAAGTGCAGACCAACAAGGCTGGAGAAACAAGGCAGACTTGAGCCTAACCCAGAGAGCAGACCAACAGATCAGACCAACCAAAGTGCAGACCAACCTAGAATCCAACAGATCAGCCCAACCCAGAAACCAACAACCAGCGACTGAAGATTAGTGTCTAAACCAGAGGCAGACCAACAGATCTGGTTCAGAACAGAACTGAAACCGTCCAACACAGAACAACAGAACATCAGAAGAATAGTGCAGCAATTAACACACAGCCATCCAACTCTGTCAAGGTAGAATAGTGCAGCAAACCTTCTAGCATAGAATCTGCCTAACATGCTGCAAATTTAACACCAGCTCCTGAACTGAGTAGAAACTATCCCTTGACTCAGCTTTAAACCATAATATGACTCTTGTCTTAATCAGCTCCAACAACTCCACCATCAAAGGTTGTTTCCCATTAAACACACACTCATTCCTCATCTTCCAAACAGACCATAGAGTGGCCAATGGGATGACCTTCCAGATTATGCCTTCGACTTTTCTCCATTTAATCCCTCTCCACCAATCTAGCAGGCCTACAACACTTTGAGGTGAAACCCATTGCATCCCCCACCACTTAAGTAGATTTGACCATACTTGCCAAACAACAGGACATAAAAGCATAACATGGTTCAAAGATTCTAATTCCTCATTACAAAAAACACAATCAGACCTGGTATTTTGATCCATCAGCCCTAAGCTTTGAAGATATGCTCTTGATTTGATTCTACCTTTCCAAACAAGCCAGCAAAAAAATTTAACCTTTGGTGGCGACACGTTCTTCCAAATAAGCTCAGTGGCTGGTAAAACCTGCCCAGAAGTAAGTTTATTGTAGACAGCAGCAGTGTTGAACAACCCATTTGAAGAGGCCTTCCAAACCAAGGCATCAGCTTTCTCAGTCAAACATGGGGTATTGCTATTTAACTTGTCCATTAGTCTTACAGCTTCAAGTTCCTCCCAAGCCCTCAATCTCCTCCTAAACTTCAGGTCCCACCTTGCTGTGATTCTTTTTCTTTCTTTACTATTAGTTGATGTTATCACATACCAGTAATGATGTGGTATTACCATTATATTGAATTTTTAATCAAATTTTGTATAAAAAAATAATTTATTATTATATAATTTATTTTAAGACTTATATCTATTTGTTTTGTATTGTTCATGATACACTAGTTACATATAACATTATTTTTTGATATATCTTGAAATCAATCGTAAAACATACGTGAAATATTTTTGTAAAAAATTTTGATATTGTAATTAATAAGTGCTCCCTTTAATTTAATTTTCTTGCTCTGCCATTGAATATACTCCTCTAGTGGTTCACCAATTCAAGTGGCTTATGGGTCAGGTTCATCACATGTGTTTCAGAAGTTTGAGTCTGCTTTTCGGTGATGTCAACTATGGCACGAAGAAGCTTGAAGTCATTCTACATGTTGAAGCTGTCAATGCACTAATGAGCAAGGTTGTTAAGATCGCGATCCGCATCGTAGGATCGTACGAGCCTACGATCCAATATACATCATTCGATCCGACTCGTGTTTTGGATCGACCCCAGATCAAGATTGTTGGAATCGATGGGATCGTATCTGGATCGCGACTCCATGCGATCCAAATTTGAAGGGTTTTTTCTCAACTTAAAAGCAAAATCGAGAGCAAAAAAGAGAGAGAGATAGAGAAGCAAAGCAAGCAGACATGTGATTAGGGCAATACAACTTGGGAAAAGAGAAAATTCAACATCAAATTTCAGATTTTGCAGCCACAAACAAGGTACGCTATTCTTCTTCTTCTTTGAATCTGTCTCTCTCTTCATTGTTTTTCTTCTCCTTCGCATCTTCCTCTCTCTTTGATGTTCTTCTTCGTCTTCGAATCTTCCTCTCTCTTCGATCTTCTCTTCTTTTTCTTTCTTCACTGCTCAGCTCTTTTTCTTTTCTCTTCACTGATCTGCTTCTTCGCTACTCAACTGCTATTCTTTTTCTTTCTTCGTTGCTCTCATTTTGTTCTGATTTTGTATTATACATATATTTATATATATATATATATACTGAATTTGCTGCTTCTTTTTTTTTTTGCTCTTTTTTTTTTTGTTTTTTGTTTCTGTAAATTATATATTATATAACTTATTTTAGTCTTTTATTTGTTCTTCATTTATTAGTTTGTTTTGTTTTCATTAAGAAACAATAACGATGGTGTGCAAGTGTTCTGATTTCTTTTTTTGAAAAAAAAATGTTTGAATGCTACCTTGAATTGCTATATTTCTTTTTTTGGGCTTATTCTATATACATTTTGATAGTATTACTTAGTCATATAAAAATTATTGCATGTTTTATCGTTTTAGTAGGATCTTACGATTCTCGTTCTGATCCTACGATCCGATCCGACAGACCCCCAAAACGATCTTTTGTAGGATCCCGATCTTAACAACCTTACTAATGAGATGGACAAAACACAGTGCAATTCATCAGTTTCTATCTTTCTCCATTCAAGAGACTTGAAATAATTATAGCCTGTTCCTTGAAAAAAATTAAATCAACTTACTATGCCTCCATGCAATTTTATAATTTTTTTTTGGACAAGTAAATAAATTCTATGAAAAAAGGCACCAGGGGGTAAAAAGGGGAATATCATCAATCAAAATATGAACTATGGATAGTGATCAATTATAATAAATAAATAAATAATAGTTTACGAGCAGAATAATCAGTAAAATAGTTATTTTTATCAAACTAGTTATTTTTATTGTTTAGTTAAAATAGTGAGTAAATAAATTTCACTTCCATCAAATTAGCTATCAAATTAATCATTTTAAATTTTATGATTTTAACTCAACAAATATAGCTAGTGGTTTCACCAAGTCAAATATTAAAAAATACTATACTTTCATATTTTGAAATTAAATGTGTTTAGTTTATAAAAAATAATTATAATTAAAATGAATAGAAATAATATAGAAAAAGAATTTAGATAGAGTTTGTGTAGCCAAAATAAAAAGCAATTTTGAAGTAAAAATATAAAAAATTTTAACTAGTTTGATAGATGCTCTAGTCAACTATAATAGCGCGAGTTTTTCCGCCTACACGTTTCGCTAGCAGCCTTCCGAATTTTGTGGCTTCTTATGGAAAAATTATGAAACGAGCAAAAGAAGTAAAAGTAGTAATAATGTCAGGAGTCAATAAAGAGGATAGAGTCTAATAAAAAATGGTGGAAAGAGGGTCGGGTCACGTGCTTCTGAGTTTTGGATTATTTTATTTTATTTTTTTTTGTTGTAAATCTAAAGAAAATATTTTAAATAAAAAAATTTATAAGAATATTTTTTAGAATGAAATATGAATAATATTTTTAAAATTATAAGAACAATAATTATTGTTTCAATTGAAAATAAAGAAATTACGTTATTATTATCTATAAAAATTTTGATATAATGGTGATATTTATTATTATTGACATGCAAATATAATTAATTTTAATTAAAATATAGAACTTATTGAATTATTAGTTACATTTGACATGTAAGGTTCATCCTTATGTGTTTCTTTACTATTAGTTGATGATATCATATGTCAATGATGATGTAGTATGACTATTGTATTGAATTTTTACACATATTTTGTATAAAAAAAATTACTTTATCATTATATAATTTATTTTAAAACTTTATATCCATGATTTTTTTTAATATTGTCCATGATACACTAATTACAAATAATATTTTTTTTAATCTTTCTTGAAGTCAATCATAAAAATTTATGTGAAATATTTTTGTAAAATTTTTTAATATTATAATTAATAAGTGTCTCTTTTAATTTAATTTCTTGACTCCATCACTACATCAAAAAAATGTAACTTTCAAGCATATAGCAATAATTTCAATGAGAACGATTTGAGAGGGGTGCATAAAAATCGAAATTGTAATTGAATTGGTTGGATGGAGAAGATCTATAATGACAAGTAATCTAAGCTGACACATGTATCGGCTATCTTTGGTACAAATGGAGTGAATTGGTACAAATGGAGTGAAGTGCAGTTATGAATCAAAATAACGTAAAAATTCACACAAATCCAATTATGGGATATCTCCATTGATTGTTTTTTATGAAAAATCATTCATGGGATCATGAAATCTTAAAGCAAATAATAATGTTTCGTTCGAGAATGACATGGGTAAGCCCACAAAGGATATGACCCACCACTCAAGGCCCAATCCATGATTCAAATACTAAAACCTAACATTCCTAAAACCTAACGTTGCACCAAGCACCAATGACATCTGAACCCTTGGCAAGTAAAGAACCAGCCACATTAGCAGACAAAAATCCTGCAGAGTTATTGCATCACACATCAACTATTAATGAGCTTCCCTGCAACATTTATTACGATAACCCTTCACGTCGGAACAGAACGGCCTCACTATGAACAAGGCAAGCTAGAACATAGGCTTTCGGCCAACATGACAGCCAGGAGTGGACAAGGAAATGATGAGCAAAGGATATAAGCAAGCTCCTAAGACAAAAAAGGTTAAGTTCTCTATCACCATTTCTATCCCAACATTCGATCACTCTCTTCTAACTTGCTCGTCGGAGGGTTCGCTAGGGAACTTCCCGTTCCCCTCTGAACTCTTGTGCAGGTTTTGTTAGGAGCTCAATTGTAATAACCCTCACCACTGATTACTGATAACCTTATTGATTACTGCTAAACTGAGACTAATCATAAATAGTCATTGAATTGATTGAAATACTGAACTGATTGATTAAGTGTATCTGTTTAAGTGCATACCTATCTGTTGACTGTTAAAATTATCTGTTTATGTGGTATGCTTTAAACTGTAAATTGAAAGCCTTATCGGCGGCCGAATCTGAAAGTGATTGATGATTTATGATAATTAGAATTAATGTGATTTTATGGTGTATTTATCCGAAATGTGATTTGGTATGATTAAATTAGATTAAATATTGATAAATTGCACTAATTGGCTTAATTCACAACTTTGCCACTTAGTGGCCCATTACTTGGAACATTTTTGAGCTCTCCTCATTAGACACAACACATTTTATCAGCCTTCTCCTTGCTATAGCCGACTAGAGAGAGAGAGAGAGAGTGAGAGGAATAGAGTGATTTCAACAAATTTAGCTTGGTGATTTGAAAAAATTGAAAGTTGATTGCATAATTGAGCTTCCCTTCTCATAATTGAAGACTTAAGGTAGAGCCTTTACCTTCTTGATTGTGTATTTAAGATAGTTCTTGCATGACTCATGTTACATTCATGTTATATTGAAGGGTTAAGTCTAGAATTGGTTCTATATGTTGAATTGTAGTATAAATCATGCATGCATGTTGCCATTCTTGAGTTTGAAGTTATTGTTCATGAAATTCCTCATGCATGTCCATATTTTTGCATTAGATCATGAGTTCATTTTGTTTTGGAAGAATTAGCTCATTGGAGCATGTGATTGAAGCTTTGAATTGGTTTAAACTCATGCATGTCATGTTTGAGTTATGTTCATGAAAAATTGGTTTGAAATTGGATTTAATTGAACTATATTTGGGCTTTGATTTCTCAAATTGATCTTTGAAACATGTTATATTATGAGTTTTGAAGTGTTTTTCAGAAAATTAGCCAAAAAGAATCGAATTTGGTACATTGAAACTTGTTTTTGAGCTTGAGCTTGAAATCTGGAAATTCCAGATTTTTGAATCACGCTCGAGCGGAGTGACTGGCGCTCGAGCGTGAAATTCGTGCATCTAGCACTTTACACTGTTTTACAGTCCGCTCGAGCGTGGTATTGGACGCTCGAGTGAGGACTTGTGTCACGAGCTCGAGCGGGTATCGAGCGCCCAATCGAGCGTGATTTTCACATATTCAGTACTTTTAGCATGTTTTACAGTTCGCTCGAGCGGGGTAACTTGCGCTCGAGCGGAGTTTTGTGTTTGCCTGTACGCCCGAGCGGGTAAAGCCACACTCGAGTGGGACCTCTATTTTCTGAAAATTCTGAAAATATTTTTAAAGCGCATCTTTGCATCCTCATTCCATTCTAGGCATTCTTAGGCCTAGTTTAAAGCATCTTAATGAG